ACGCGGCGGGTGTGCAGCGTCATCGGATTGACAATTGGGTCCATTGGTGAAAGCGTGTCCGCCTCATGTTCTCATCTAGTGCACTGCTGATCAAAAGTGCCCCTGCATTATGTCGGAGCCCCGGCAGCGGACGCCAGGAAAATGGGCTGCCACGGATGCGTCGTCTCACATTACCGCGACCTTGGCCTCCTTGAGAAGAAGAACACGATATTGACGGCGCGGGCGAAGCTGCCTTAACCCCGGCCGCGCGGGAAGGACGCGTGGCGTGACAAGCAAGAGTGGGCGGGGAAAGTACCGAGTGGGTGCCTTCCCGTGGGCAGTTTAGGACGAGTCCTAAACCTATATCGCAGACATGATCTCCCTGCCGAACGCGCCCCGAGATGCCGTTTTCGCTACCATAGGATCGGTTCGAGAGTTGGGTGTCCTAAACACAAAATCTACACCGCCAATTTGCCACCAGCCGGTTCCGATGTGTGCGAACGACCTGGCGGTAGGAACAAGTGAGCTCTGAGTTGGACCCTGTAGGGGGCTTGTGGCGTTCTGAAAGGAAAATATGCACCTCAGATGTAAGAGAGACCTGAACGTAAGGAGAGAGTACGCTTGCGACAATCTGAACGTTCAGGAGCTTAGCGCCTAGTGCTTCATGACCTCGCGCGCAGACCTTCACCTTGGGACAAGCCGATCGCGTCTGGTTTTTGCGACCCTCTCTAGCATCCGACTTTCAGCTTCACCTCGTACCATCTTAAGGTCTTGCTTTCAACGGCCGAGGCCACCTTGCCCTTATAAACGCGACACACGCAAAATTGAGCCCATCAACAACTTGTCCTCTGCCTTCACACTCGTGCCGAAAAATTCCACAAGACGGGCGCATGTTTTTTTGTTCGTGCTGCTCGCCAGCACACACATTACTCTGCTCTATAGCTCTTAGTTCCCTATCACTTGACTTGTAAGCCTTCAAATGCTGCGGTATATTGGTAATGTATCATGTTTATTTTAACTGAAGTCTACTGATATCTTTCACGCGCAGGTTTTGACAACGCCTCCTCCGAAAGCAAGGGGAAGAGTGTGTGATAGGCAAGATGTTTCAACAATCGCATGTGCAGCTCAAGAGTCAAGCCTTTGCGACGATGGTCGCTGGTCGGTTTTTTTGTCAATCAATGTTTCAGTATAATCACTCACCAATCATAACCGATATAGTACGTGACATCCTTGTGTAAGGTCGAGGAGGCGCAGAGTGTGTATACTACAACCGGGGCAACAATCTGGTGAGGGTGCCATCGCCATCAAATTTTGCGCAATTGCGTCTGCTGTGAGTCCTCATGATTGGATTGGTCACAAATTCAAGCTAACATTCATCTCTGCAGTACTGCCTTGTCACATGGTCAAGCAAGAAGGATGAGCACCTCTGAAGAAATATATGCTCACGCATACCTCAAGTATCTGTAGGGACATGCAATGGATGGCCAAGCTGGGTCCATCTCCAGGTATGCCGCCAATCAAACTATTGTTTCTTCCATTGCCTCTGTTGACATTCTAGTTCTTTCAGATTCTCCCGACATAGTCAAGGATGATGGTTCCTCGACAACGCTGCTGTGCTTGACAACAGCCCGGAGGGCTTTCATGGCGAAGAGTCGTTGGTGCGGCCACCGGAGAGGATTAGATCCACATAGAACATGAATAAACCACTACAATGTTCAAGTTTGATGTGGAGATTTGTCATGCATGTCACTAACATTGGTTCATCATGTACTGTATGATATTTGGCGGAACAAATTGCTGCGAATGAATATTTTTTGGTTTTGCTTCATTTTCAGTCAATTTTCTGAAAATACCATATATGGGCAGTGGTTGATCTGTACATGCTCAGGTTGGTGACGCCGGTTCACCTGGCTGTCAGCCATGCAAGCCTTGCGGCCTGAAACGAAGGCTGAGAGAAAGCTGGTCGTTCAGATGACATGCAGCTCCAGCTATCGTCTGAAGATAATGTGAAGATGAAACAAGACCTATTTCATGTTCGTATTCAGTCGCATCCAACCTGCCCTTCAGCCTTCGGTCAGGTTGGGCGGTTATCCTGGGGAGGAGCCAGGCACTGGCTGGTTACAACCTGAATCCAAACGGGCGGTGTAGGAAGGGGGTGTACCCCCCTTCCTAGATCCTAAACACGGTCCTAAACCTTACCTTTCGAAGTCCGCCCCAACCTGGTTGGCCTCCGTAGCCGCCTGACCCTATAAAGGGCAAGTATGCCGCTGGCAAATTTGATCCGCCCTCATTTTGTCGCAAAAACCAAAATTTCCTTTTCAGGGCTTCCAAGGCAAGTCTTGGGCATTGGAAGCGAAAGGGCCGTCATAATCGAGTTACAAGCGATTGTAAGGGGGTCATAATCCCTTGTAAGCGACGTTGTAACTGTCATTAGAAGCTGATTGGAAGCTGATGTAACCGGAATTCCCTTACAAGGGGCGAATGATTTTTGCGACATTACGACCTTGATGACTGTCGTGATCCAGCTTGGCTACGGGTTAGGTTGCTTTCCCTAAATCTCCTCCAACCGAACCGAGGGTGGCATTCAAAGTCCGATTATGGGATTTAGGGCGCCCCAAATCCTACGGGAAGGCATCCAGTGACGTGACAAAGCATTGCCAAACCTCCTTCCGGGGCCCCCGGACATGCCCCGGAGGCAAATGGGTTTGATCGCACCCGATCAATGTCCTGGACATACTAAATACCACAGCTCCCTTTCTGGATGCCTTATCTGGTTAACCCTCCTGCAGGCTCGAATTATACGACACTATGGTTGAGCAACAACTGCACTCCCGTCGGCCAAGCCGAGCCACCGTCAGCAGGTGCGGTCAGCTTTGACAGTATCTTTACGTGCGCCGGGGCTGCTATCTTAGCCCAACGGACATCCTCTTGACAGGGATTGCTTCCGTAAAGGCAAAAGTACGATGGCTCCGCACACTGTAAGTGGCAGAGAGACGACTTTTTGGGGTACGCAAACACATCAAGCGGGAACGAGAGAGGCATTGAATCGCTGCTAAACCATTCAAAGCAAACGGGTCGCAGTCGCGTCCCATAACGTTGATGCAATCGTCAATCGCGACGTCAATAGCCCACCGTCAACACGGGAGCAATCGTACCCGTCAGTTCCGTAAAATTTCTCCTTTGAGAAATCGCGCGATACCACGCTATATGAGTAAGAGGCATGGGTTTGTGAGAACGAGGTATACCCATCAGCCCCTGCAGGGTTGATGAGACCTCCAAAATCATATTCTTCTCGTGAACCCTGGTGCGCTTACCAGGAACATAACCACTCCGGCAATGAGGAGGAGACACACGGACCATCTTGGAAGAACAGTGTGGTGAGATTCCACGATGGAAGAAGGCACAGCGTCTGACATGGAACAGTCAGAAATACTGTCGTAAAGGTCTGACAGTGACAGCTTCGCATAGGTGCGTGAGCCGTGCGGGCGAGGATTCCGAACGAGAGATCACCTAGAAGGAAAGTGGTGAGAAGTGAGTATGTAAGTACGTCCCATCGCATCGGAATTCCGAGGAAGCGGTTTGATCCCCAGGCGCACAGCGTCCCTCCCGTGTTTCCCAAGGAAATTCGTTCAGAATCAGACGAGGTGAATTCCAACATCCACACACTGCGCCTCGCCGCCTGCAACGACAACATCAACGTCTTCTCAAATCACGCGCGCAAAAAGGGAAACCAAGAAAGTTCAAAGAAAAGAGTGATACATACCAACCGATCATTCGATTATCAAGAATACTCCATGGCTTCTCCCGCGATCCCAACATGGAAGGTACCGTCACGACGCCACATATGAACTCGGGTTGTTTTGTTGCCATGCAGCCCATCGAACGTAGCAATCAACGATACAACGGTCCCGCGAAGGTGGGGTATGCTGCAGTACGTAGCCGAAAGCACATTGCAATGACAGTGGTTTCATAATATCCCACCGTGACACGAGTAGATATTGAAGATGGCGAGATTCCAATCCAAACACTGACCAGCCGAAGGATACTGTGAAAGCAGACTTGTGATAGCAAAGACGAGGACAGAGCGCGAGTAGAAGGGGTCAAAGAGACAACTGTCGATGACTCGATACCGATGCCAGATCCCTTCATGCGGCGTCATTCTCGACCAATCGGCCGCACACGATGTACTTGCTGGAGAAATGATCCATCCAGCCTTTCATATTGTCGCTGTAGCGCATGCGAGGAAAGGCAAACGAGATTGGTGAGCCCCTCGGGTCCGAGATACGCGAGATGGTGGGGACGTACATTTCCTCCTGTGTCAGGTCGTCCAATTTATCAAGTGGCTGGTCCACGGGAGTGAGCATTTCTATGGAGAGGTTTAGGTTGTTAGGGGGTTGCTGAGAAAGAGGGAGGTTCGGAGGGAACGCACCTAGATCGAATGACTGCTTGGCCATGCCACGCGAGGCATCACGTCCAGCAAAGTTGGCATACATCCCATCTAATCATTCATCCAATACCCAAAACCAACACGTCGTCATCAGTCAACCAATCCTATCCAAGCACAACCCCACATCCGGACAGAACAAGAACACAACACGTACTGGGTCCATAAAAGTTCCTGCCAGCAGTAACGTCGTACACGACTCCATTAATCGCAAGCAAGATACGTTTCCCATCCTCTCCGTTGAAAGGCTCCAACGTCTTCGGTGTGTACGTCTGGAACAGGAGAGTGGGAGGATGCGATTTAGGCATCCATGAGTACCCGTTTTTGAATTCGGTCGGTACGTTCGTGGAGGTCTTGGTTGAGGGGAATAGGATCCGTTGGACGGTGTAGAGGATGTATACTAGGAGAGCGGTGTTTACGGGGATGCTCAAGTCGAACGCCATGGTTGTTGGAGGATTGGAATGAGGAGAGGTCGATGTCTAGCTTCTGGTCATGATTATGAAGTGACCTCGGGGAATGGTGGTCCGATGACGAGTCGAAGGATGGTGAGATTGTGTTTAGGTAATGAGAAAAAAGATGGACACTGGGAGGATTGAACTCCCGACCTCATGCACGCATCGAGAAATGCAAAGCATGCGCGCTACCACTGTGCCAAGTGCCCATGTCTGCATTTTCATTTGTGTTTATATCAACTGTACTCACATGTGTCCATCTCATGAAGAAAAAACATTAAATTATTGTAAGTATTATTCAACCAAGGATGAAGGAATGAAAGTCGTCTGTGAACAGTGTGAAGGGAAGAGTGCCAGAAGAGTCCCGTAATACGCATCGGACCACATCAAGTACTTTTCAAATCATATCGACGACGATGCCAGTACACCATTGCTATCAACGTGAACAGCGGCATCTAACAACTGGTTTCGCATAGATCCACGCTTAGCTTTTCGGGTGGATGTACGCCCCAGTCCAGGGCCGCGCTGATATGCATGTATAGAGGTTCCCCAATGATGCAACTCTGGAGGGTCGAAGGACGTGCTCATATCTGACTGAACAGGGTTAAAAGTCATCGCCGCAGCCGATGGGGATGATGCCATTGGTGATTCTGATATGGGAGACGAGATGAAGGAGAATGGGCTTGAGCTTGGGGCGGATATCATTGAGAATGGGGAAGATGCAGCGCTGGAAAGTCGGGTATAGACTGCGTCCCCTACGGCATCAGCTAGATCCATCAAGAGTCTTTCTGACGTCAATATATCATCTGCCCCTCTGTGCTGCGGCCAGGCTTGCGAAGGCGGAGAGGGATGTAGGGCACTGAACGTCAAGTCTGGTGAAACTGGGGGTGCGTGCTTCTTGCGTATCCAGGAAGTCTCTCCGAACGAGAGTATAGTTTTCGCAAGAGCCTCAGTGGATGGTTGTTCCTCTGGCTCTGAGGACAGACATGACCATATGAAGTTCCATATGCCCAGATTATGTAGCCCTGGCAATGCATTGGGATTCAGCAAATCTGCTCCAGAGAAATCAGGCCTGGTTCCCTCCAGCACTTTGGATATCATGTGGTGCTCGGAAAGGTTGGAGAAGGGGGCCCGGCGCGTATGCGTCTACAATAGTATGAGTTGATCAATATGGGGATAGGAGGAGGAACATATTCGCAGACGTACCTCTAACCATACACAACCAAATGCGTAAATGTCACTGGAGTAGTTGGGTCTACCACCGCGGAGAATAGACGGTGACATCCATCGGCATGCACCCCCAGTGTATGAACCCGGACTTGCAGAGCTTGTATCGACAAAATGAGCCAAGCCAAAGTCACACAGTTTCACAGATAGCTCATCGTCAATCAAAATGTTGGCCTGTCGAAGGTGTCAGATTCCCCGTGAAATGCAAGTAGATCATGTAACGAAGAACTGACACCTCTCAGATCCCCATGGACCACGTTTTCGCTATGAAGGTATTGGAGGCCCAACCCAATTTGATACATCTATAGTGTTCATGAGATCGACAGGCTATCTTGCGACACAATGATACTCACCCATAATTTTAGCGGGAGCTCCTGGTTCATCGACTCCAAGGTGTCCATGCACTGGTTGATATTGCCGTATTTCATCCATGGAGAGACCATGCACGAGTAGGGGACGAAAGTAATACAATCAACGCCGAGGAAGGGAAGAATATGCTCGTGTTTAAGACATTGCCAATACAAGGTCTCCCTAAAGAACGTCTGTACATACATACGGATAAGCCAATGAACCGAAGAGTCGAGGTGAAAACTCACCGAGGATTTTACTGTCTCCCATCGTTGAGTAACGCGGAGCTTTTTCAATGCGACGGCAATACCGTTACGCTCAGCCCGGAAGATATCTGCGTAACCTCCGCATGCGACGACCTCTCGATTGACGCAAATAACGTCTCCCACGAAGAGGGAGGGAGGCAATACGTTGGCCGCCTTGGATAATTCCACGAGAAGGCGTAATATCTTGCCACGGCCATGTCGTTGGTTCACTCCTGGACTGGGACCTTGGACCTTCAGCAACTAACGTATTTATGATGAATATCTCTCGGAGAAATCTTGAGACCGCGTGGAGACGTACCTGTAACATGCATTCCATGACCTCCACTGCTCTGTTATCCCTAAGGGACAGAAGCTGTCCCTTGTCTTCAGGCGAGGCAAGGACATGTCTAACCAAGCTATGATCCTTTGCACGCTGGCTTTCCATTGCGCGCTTGGCTTTCTGTCAGTATAAGGACATGGGTCGTTGATGGTTGGTCTGTATGGTGCATCTGGAATGGATAGTCAGTCATCTCCATGACTTTTCGTATGTCTTTACTAACTCACGCAATGTGTAAAGTGACAATGCAGAGTAGGAGACGCGGAAGGCGATATCCAGTGGACGGTGCCGTATAGGATATGGATGTGAGGATGAGCCGGCGAATTCGAAGGTGAGGGATGAGAGCTCCTAGGACAGGCCTATTTATACACTTGAGCCAATCTTTGGGCACAGCCCCGAGGATACTTCGTCAAGGGCTGTACGAGACGCTAGTAATGACAAGTTGGCGCACAATGCTATACAGATTTGACATCGAGCTGGCGAGATAACAGGACAGGTGCGGTAAGAGCATCCAGTTGGCGGTATCAGCACTTTACTTCAAGTTCAGTGGCTTTGCCGAACGTGACACGAGCTGGCGTTCTCGACATGAAGACTGTTGATACGACCAGGAATATCTTGCTGGCTGAGTCAACCTTACTACTTATTCTTGGATACTGTGACAATCTGTTGCAGAAATGCTCTCGTGAACTTCATGACGTAGCGGTGCTTTACGACTTACACGAGATTGAATGACGACACGCCCACCACGTAGAGATACACTCTGTGGGTTTGCCGTGTCGCGTTGTTAGCAGCAGAAATGCTTGGACCGAATCGGATTCAAGGGTACGTCATATTAGATACCATGGGATGACAGGGGAGGGGAAAGCATGAAGCGGAATCACCACCTAGACAAACACAGCCCAGGTGCTTCATCATCGACCTTAATCGAAGGTGACGTGCGAAGGCTCCAACGGTGGAAGTGAAGTCATGATACCACTGGGCCACGCTCTCACTGACGCCAGAACCAACATCCGACATCCTCGGTGACTCGGAGTGGACAGAAGATAATGATAGGTAGGTCTTTGCGACTAGCATGACTGTACAAATCCTAAAGGAATACAGTCTCTGGATTATTGACCTAAGCAAGGACGTCAGATCTTCAGAGCTTGGCCTGCATTGAGTAGATATGAACTCACGTCTCTCTGCACTGGGATGAGGCGCATTGTTTTCTTTGCAGCTACGCATGGTAACAATTCTCGTAGCTCCTCTGCGATGGAAGTAATGGTGGTGCTCGAAGGGTCAAACGTGAAATAGATGTCCGATAACCCATCTAGATCCGGATGAACGAGACGTTCGTCCAACGCGGTATACACCTCCTTCCGATATTGTATTACCGGCTCCGTAAGGTCGAATGGTGCAGAGAATACGAGCTTAGTGAGGGGGTTGGGGGATGGCAGCTCGTTAAATAGAGCAGAGAGCCGACCTGCAAGGGGAACATCCAATGTTCGTAGATTGACATTGTTAGAGATGTCAATGTTTTCTACAATACCTACAACAAGACAGGAAAGTTAGTTCACGTTAACTAGATAGTTACGAGGATATTACTTTGAATGGCCCGGATAAATCGCCAACGGTCGATACCCCTCCAGGGGAACAATTGTAGCTCCAGATGCTCGAGAGCGGGTCCGATGCACCGAATGAACTCTCCCAATATTGGTAGAGTGTCATAGACACCAATCAATATCTGGAGCGAACGCAAATTTCTCCAACAGTTGGACGAAACGAACCAAGGACCGAACGTAAATTTGTAGTCTTGCGAGCATGTCAGTCGGAGTGAGGTCAATCGGGCGGGGTAATGTTTGGGGAGAAGTTCCGCGGGGTTTGTGGACCTCGTCCAGACATCGTGCAGGCGGAGATTGAGCGGATTGCGCGAGGAGCATACCATAGCGTGGAGCACATCCTCATTCATTCCACAGTCCGTCAGAGACAGAGTATGAATAGAGGATAAATTCGTTATTGCTTCCACTATATTCGCGATGGGAAGCGGGGGCCTTAGCGGTAAGCAAAGGTCCACGAATGCCAACTCTCGGAGGCATATGAGATGCATTGAGATGATGTCCGGAAGGAGAGAGAAATACGCAGATATGTCACCCTGTGATTTGATGCGGGAAGGGAATGTTACCGAGAGGTTGTGTATCCAAGCGCCACGGATGGACTTCGAGCACAACATTGCTTCGAACTCTCGCAATCTGCGAGCCGATTTTAATGACACGCTGCGGAAGAGCAACGGTTTCGCAGCGAGTCGCCATTGGCGAGTAGCGAGAGAACACGCCTTTACTGCGTCCTCATCGTCGGAAAGGAAAGACGCAATGTGGTCCAGGACTTCCAGCGGTACTGACAATACAGACTCGGAGTTATCCGCTTCGTCTGAGACACGAGGTGAGCCGTATGTCAGAGTTTGAATAGAGAACGGTTAAGTACCAGCAATAGGGGATGCACCAATGTCCCTCTCTTCAATTTCTTCGTGATGCTGCATTTCGCTTCTGTTGCAAGGATGTGGTACGAAGGTGAAAGGGGTCGAACGAGGCGGAAGGACAAAAATCTCAGTGGAGCCGTCTAGATCCAACACCGCTTCTCCTTTTACGGAAAGCAATACTCCATTTTAGGTGGACAATCGCCGGAAGCGGTAATTTGGGCTTTAGCGCCACGTGGCAACCCTCCCTCCGACCTGTGTCAGCGTCCAAGCGTCGCCACTGACTTGAGCTTGAACGGAACCCTCAAGCCACTCCGTGAGCAGCATCCTGGCAGCCGCGAAATCAATAGAATCTGTATGTTTAGTTTTTCAGCGTATCAAGACAACGTGTTTGTCATATAACTTATAGCCCCGTACCCCCTACAGTCCATTACTGGACAGTGAATACGTATTTTCGAGTGTATGTTTCAATGGACCTCACGTCTCATCTCGCGTAGTGGCCTCTTTCACGCCCTCATCAGTCGATCATGCAGTATGATTATTTATTACAGTTCAAATATCTTGACTGCATCGTCTTCTTATATGGGGCTTTCAGACACG